TTATGAAATTTGGATCGGATTAACTGACCAAGAATATAATCTGTACCAAGTTCCAGCTTTCTATCTTTAAAAACACGAAAGTTGGGTCATTTCCGATCGTTCAGTTATATGGCAGCTATAGGATATAGTCGGCCGATCCTTATGAAATTTGGCATGTCGTAATATTTTGCCAAAAATAGCTCTCATGTCAAATTTGAACTCTCTAACTCTAAAAACACTAAAGTTATACCATTTCCGATCAATCAGTTATATGGCAGCTATAGGATATAGTCGGCCGATCCCGGCCGTTCCGACTTATATACTGCGTGCAAAGGAAAGAAGGGTGTGTGCAAAGTTTCAAGTCGATAGCTTTAAAACTGAGAGACTAGTTCGCGTAGAAACAGACAGACGGACAGACAGACGGACAGACGGACAGACGGACAGACGGACAGACGGACATGCTCATATCAACTCAGGAGGTGATCCTGATCAAGAATATATATACTTTATAGGGTCGGAGATGTCTCCTTCACTGCGTTACCCTCTGCAAGGGTATAAAAATATCTATATATCTATAGTAGATATAGAATGCCATTCTGCGAATATAATTTATCAAAATATCGCGTATACGTCACCGTGCCCCCAAAGTAAGTGGGCGGCCGTGCCGGGCCACGCCTCGAAGCGTTCAGCCCCCCCTACGTCAGTCGAAAGATTTATCATTGAGCGCCGAGTCAGCCAGAACAGAAGAATTCTTTTCAACATTTTTAGGAGGCTTTGACAGCTTACTTTTGTTGTTGTTGTCGCAAATTTCGCGTTAATTTCGCGGCAATTTTACAAAATATGCTTCGAAAACACTTTTTTCTAAAATAGTTTTTAATGCGCAGCAGGGGGGGAGGGGGGGCGGTGAATCGAAGACCGAAAACAAAATACGCAATAATAAAAAAGAAAAGCAAAAACAACTCGATAGTGATGAAGAGAGATGGAGAAAGAAAGTCTTCTCCCCTTGATCTTCAAAAGTGGGGAAAAGTGTCTCTCTCTATTCTCTCGCTATCGCCTCGTACTGCTCTGGCACTGCTTTATCGCTGTGTTGTTTTGGTTGTTACGCAAATGCTAAATTGCAAACCGCAAAGGTATTTTTTCAAACGGAAAGTGTGAAATGGAAATGCAACAGGGAAACAAAAACAATAAAAAAAAAAAACAAAAACCAAATCATGTGAGGCAGCTACACTGCAAAACAAAAGTCAGGTGTGGCCAGGTTATAAGATACCCGATACTATCCAGGAGTACAGTTGCCGACCAAGATACACTTGAGACTGATGGCTTTTAAAAAAAAAATAATTAGGACCATAAGGTCTTCTAAACCCTTTTCTGTGTACCAATATTTGCATATTTAAATTGAAAAAGGTATAACATTAACGAAACAGCTGCAAAAAGATTGACAATTGGCACTCGCCTCATAAATACAAAATCATAACAAGTCAGCACTCGGAAAAATGTACATACAAGTTCCGAGCGATATACTGACGGATATTGAAAGTCTTAAACCAGGTCGGGAGACATAAACCAGTTTAGACAACAAAATCATACGACACAGGAAGGAGCAACATACATACTATATGTATGTATGTATATACTACTTTTTGGAACCCACAAGACCAATTGAGACTTTTCTAGTTTGACATTCGACTGACATTCTATTTCCCCATAGGCCCAGTACCGGCCGTATCTCAGATATCAAATCTTATCGATCGGCGTCGTGATAAAACCTTTGATTTCGCACTTCGGTAGTCCGAGACTTTATAATGGCCAGTATTTCACGATATGCCAGATACGTAATGTTCTATAAAGATTGACGTATGTATGGATGTATTTGCTTGGTAATCGTTTATCTCAGAGACCCATAAACTGGCGAAAGAATGCAGATTTCTTAAGCTATTGTAGAGAGAAGATAAGTCCTATAATTTTGCAATCAAAGCAGATGATAGGGTTATAAAGATTCAGTTTCACCAACAGACACCAACCATTTCAACAAACACAATTATTAACAAATTAGGACAGAGTTGGGTTATAATTATAAAGAAAAGGCTAGGCTTAAAAGATTCAGATTCCAAAACAAAAAGACACCAATCATTTCAACGCACTAAGCACCATTCCAACAGCATTCCAACAAACACAATTAATTAGAAATCAGGGTTATAATTATGGGTTATAATTATAAACCATAGACAAGGCTTTAATGATCCAGATTCCAAACAAAAAGACACCAATCATTCCAACGCACTAGCCAACAACCATTCCAACAGCATTCCAACAAACACAATTATTTAGAAATCAGGGTTATAATTATAAACCAAAGACAAGGCTCTAAAGATCCATATTCCAAAACAAAAAGACACCAATCATTCCAACGCGCTAGCCAACAACCATTCCAACAGCATTCCAACAAATACAATTAATTATAAATCAGGGTTATAATTATGGGTTATAATTATAAACCAAAGACAAGGCTCTAAAGATCCAGATTCCAAATAAAAAGACACCAATCATTCCAACGCGCTAGCCAACAACCATTCGAACAGCATTCCAACAAACACAATTAATTTGAAATCACGACAGAGTTGGGTTATAGTTATAAGCCAAAAAAAAGTTTCTAAAGATCCAGATTCCAATACAAAAAAAAAACCAATCATTCCAACAGCATTCCAACAAACACTCTAAACACCACCCATAGATGGCTGCCGTCACTTCCTTTGGCGATCTTGTTTTTATGGTTGTTGTTTTCTGTGAACGATTACCGTTATTAGTTTATAACGCTTTTGTTTTTTTGTGGCATTTTTTTTTTTTTTGTCAGCTCTCTTAGGGAGGCAATTGACTCTGCCTTGTTTTACTGCCAAATTAGCGACTTTGGCAAAAAAAAACACAATATTTTTTATTTTTTTTTGTTGGCAGCGCTCGTGTTTCGCCTTGGAAACCCTAAACAATAAATTCTGCAGCTAAAATTATTTTAATTACGTTTTAATTTAAAACCGCAAATGGAACACTGAAGTACATACCCCACGCGAGAAAAAGGCAATAAAAAAATGAGTAATTAAGAGCCTCGCGAGGGGGAAAAGCGCAAAAAAACAAAGTGAGTTGTCGGCGGCATTGGGATATATATGTATATACCTATATATAAGCTAAATTGAGTGATATAATCCAGGTAATTGAGCTGGAGAAGATCTCAATCGGGCAGGTGAGTGTATCCCCCAGCTAATTGGATGGATGATAAATATATGTTTATGTAAAGTTTTAAGAAAGTTTCTCGTATTTCTTGATAGTTTATAAGAATCTTTTTTAATTAAACATCACCCTGATATGTCTGCGACTTCCAATTACAATCGTCAACAATACTGCGCATAATCATCATCGAGAATCGAGAGTCTGTCTCGAGTTCTGTAATTGGAATACCCCAGAACTTGAGCCCCAGACGTAGGACCCTGGCCCTGGTACTGCCCCCTCCCAGATCCGGTACAGTTGCCTCCGGCGGAGACCTCATCGACGGTCACGGCCACTCACTCGATAGATGATGTAAGTGAATGAAAACTGAATGATTGAATTGAACTAATCGCTTAACGAACCCAAATGCAAACCAATTGAGCGGCGGCGGTACAAACTGCCAGAAACTGCCTCTACCCCAATTAAGTGGGGAGACAGTCTTCTTCTGGAAGACACACTACATATCCGACTCTCTAGAGGAAATTGCTGGGCATACAAATTTATTTGATCCCAGACACTTGAGTCAATTTGCAGACAAGCGGGCACGAGACTTTGGTTAGGAATTCTCCAACTTGTTTGTCCAGCAAAGTGATCTGATCTATTAATGAATGAACCTGAAACTGGGGAATTCTTAAGTAAAAGACTATATAGATTTAGGCATTCAAATATCTTTTAATTCTCAGAATAGAAGAGTCACAAAGTTTAAAATGTGTCATTGTGTAGTAGTTTTGTGGAAAATTAATTCAAATAAGACCCAGGGAAGATGACAATAATGATTCGAAGACCACGATCGAAGGAGAGCCTTTTTAGGAAGAATTAGTTAATTAGTATATTAGTTAACACTAAGTGTGTTTTTTATTTTTAATACTCACAAGAAGAACAAGTACAAGAGAGGGTCTCCATGAGGAAATAATTAGAAAAACATCAGAAAATGGTTTAAAGGTGAAAAATAAAATCAAGAAATAAGGCCCACCTACAGGAAAGATAATATTATTATTTAATTTCAATTAGTTACTAAAATTACTCACTCGTTGGGGGTTTTCGGGAAAACATTTATCAGAGGAGAAAATTAGAGAGCATGGAATGCAGGTATTAGAATTTAGATACCTTTGCAGGGGGTATTATAATATAAATAATTAAAAAAAAGGAGAAAATCAGAAGGTAAACTGAAAGAAATACATTTTTAATTGCAGAATCAACATTATTAAAGATAATATTTACCAAAAAAAAACCATGGAGGCAAAAACCTTTGATATATGATATATAATATGAAAGTTAAAATATAGGAGGAAATCAGGAACCGAAACCTGGAGATAGAAAAGTTCGTGATTATATCTCGAATAAGCTATTAAATATAATTAAATTTTGCCAGACACAGCTAGTCTTCAGAATATATCAATTAATTTTAAGAAGTAAGAATTTACTTACGTGTGTTAAAGGAAGATGAATATTGGTAGTACTCGAATAAAATATAAGGAAATCAGACCCATTACTATGCGAAATTTCTACGCGGAAATGTAAAACCGAAGCCTGGAGATAGAAGTTTGTGATTATTTTCTGAATCAGCTATTAAATATAATTATATTTACCTCATAAAGCTAGTGATACGGTAAAGGAAGATGAATATTGGCGATACTCGAATAAAATATAAGGAAATCAGACCCATTACTATGCGAAATATTCACGCAATTGATGTCCACGGTATTTTCTTTGAATGGAAAAAAGCTCATAGAACGGAGAAATTAATGTTGGTTCACAATACTCACTATGAATATATTGAAAATAAAACAAAAATCAGAAAATCAGACCGGATGACAGACACCCCCGGACCGATGCTCCAGTTTACTTGACAAAGTTATGTTAAATGGTAAAGGCTGTGGACATTTGGAGTTAAAATTGAGGATTTAAATACTAGTGGAATTAATATTTACCAAATAAAAAAATAAGAAAAGGACAGTTCCAATCAGATCCGAATAAAATATAAGGAAATCAGACCCAAGCTATGCGAAATTTCTATGCAGAAATCTTAAAACGAAGCCTGGAGATAGAAGTTTGTTATTATTTTCTGAATCAGCTATTAAATATAATTATATTTACCTTAAAAGCTAGTGATGCGGTAAAGAAAGATGAATATTGGCGATAATCGAATAAAATATAAGGAAATCAGACCCATTACTATGCGAAATATTTACACAAAGTCCAGGGTATTTTCTTTGAATGGAAAAAAGCTAATAGAACAGAGAAATTAATGTTGGTTCACAATACTTACTATGAATATATTGAAAATAAAACAAAAATCAGAAAATCAGACCGGATGACAGACACCCCCGGACCGATGCTCCAGTTTACTTGACAAAGTTATATTAAATGGTAAAGGCTGTGGACATTTGGAGTTAAAATTGAGAATTTAAATACTAGTGAAATTAATATTTACCAAATAAAAAAATAAGAAAAGGACAGTTCCAATCAGATCCGAATAAAATATAAGGAAATCAGACCCATTACTATGCGAAATTTCTATGCAGAAATCTTAAACCGAAGCCTGGAGATAGAAGTTTGTGATTATTTTCTGAATCAGCTAATAAATATAATTATATTTACCTTAAAAGCTAGTGATGCGGTAAAGAAAGATGAATATTGGCGATACTCGAATAAAATATAAGGAAATCAGACCCATTACTATGCGAAATATTTACACAAAGTCCAGGGTATTTTCTTTGAATGGAAAAAGCTAATAGAACAGAGAAATTAATTTTGGTTCACAATACTCACTATGAATATATTGAAAATAAAACAAAAATCAGAAAATCAGACCGGATGACAGACACCCCCGGACCGATGCTCCAGTTTACTTGACAAAGTTATGTTAAATGGTAAAGGCTGTGGACATTTGGAGTTAAAATTGAGAATTTAAAAACTAGTGGAATTAATATTTACCAAATAAAACAATAAAAAAAAGAGCAGTTCCAAATCAGATGCAATTCCGGACTACAAACACCATTGGTCCGATGGTCCATCTGAGCAGGACTAAAGAAATTAAGTGAATTAGGGTTAATGTTACCAGTAATTATATTAAGAATAATACTTACGTAGTACAATAACAGTTAAATTAAGAATAAAGCAAAGAAATCAGGCCCCACTACTGTTCTGGAAAATCAGAACTGCAACGCGATTGTTGAGAACATCAAGTAGCTGTGGGCATTTGGAGTTAAAATTGAGGATTTAAATACTAGTGAAATTAATATTTACCAAATAAAAAAATAAGAAAAGGACAGTTCCAATCAGATCCGAATAAAATATAAGGAAATCAGACCCAAGCTATGCGAAATTTCTATGCAGAAATCTTAAAACGAAGCCTGGAGATAGAAGTTTGTGATTATTTTCTGAATCAGCTAATAAATATAATTATATTTACCTTAAAAGCTAGTGATGCGGTAAAGAAAGATGAATATTGGCGATACTCGAATAAAATATAAGGAAATCAGACCCATTACTATGCGAAATATTTACACAAAGTCCAGGGTATTTTCTTTGAATGGAAAAAGCTAATAGAACAGAGAAATTAGAAATTAATGTTGGTTCACAATACTCACTATGAATATATTGAAAATAAAACAAAAATCAGAAAATCAGACCGGATGACAGACACCCCCGGACCGATGCTCCAGTTTACTTGACAAAGTTATGTTAAATGGTAAAGGCTGTGGACATTTGGAGTTAAAATTGAGAATTTAAATACTAGTGGAATTAATATTTACCAAATAAAAAAATAAGAAAAGGACAGTTCCAATCAGATCCGAATAAAATATAAGGAAATCAGACCCATTACTATGCGAAATTTCTATGCAGAAATCTTAAACCGAAGCCTGGAGATAGAAGTTTGTGATTATTTTCTGAATCAGCTAATAAATATAATTATATTTACCTTAAAAGCTAGTGATGCGGTAAAGAAAGATGAATATTGGCGATACTCGAATAAAATATAAGGAAATCAGACCCATTACTATGCGAAATATTTACACAAAGTCCAGGGTATTTTCTTTGAATGGAAAAAGCTAATAGAACAGAGAAATTAGAAATTAATGTTGGTTCACAATACTCACTATGAATATATTGAAAATAAAACAAAAATCAGAAAATCAGACCGGATGACAGACACCCCCGGACCGATGCTCCAGTTTACTTGACAAAGTTATGTTAAATGGTAAAGGCTGTGGACATTTGGAGTTAAAATTGAGAATTTAAATACTAGTGGAATTAATATTTACCAAATAAAACAATAAAAAAAAAGAGCAGTTCCAAATCAGATCCAATTCCGGACTACAAACACCATTGGTCCGATGGTCCATCTGAACAGGACTAAAGAAATTGAATTGAAAGTGAATTGGGGTTAATGATACCAGTAATTATGTATATTAAGATTAATACTTACGTAGTAAAGTAATAGTTAAATGAAGAATAAAGCAAAGAAATCAGGCCCCATCCCTGTTCTGGAAAATCAGAACTGCAACGCGATTGTTGAGAACATCAAGGGGCCCCCACAATAATAATAAATGGTTAAGGCTGTGGGAATTTGGAGTTAAAATTAAGAATTTAAATACTAGTGGAATTAATATTTACCAAATAAAAAAAATGAAAAGGACAGTTCCAATCAGATCCCAATAAAATATAAGGAAAGCAGACCCATTACTCTGCGAAATTTTCACGCAATAAAGTCCAGGGTATTTTCTTTGAATGGAAAAGAGCTAATAGAACAGAGAAATTAATGTTGGTTCACAATACTCACAATGAATATATTGAAAATAAAACAAAAATCAGAAAATCAGACCGGATGACAGACACCCCCGGACCGATGCTCCAGTTTACTTGACAAAGTTATGTTAAATGGTAAAGGCTGTGGACATTTGAAGTTAAAATTGAGAATTTAAAAACTAGTGGAATTAATATTTACCAAATAAAAAAAATGAAAAGGACAGTTCCAATCAGATCCAATTTCGGACTACAAACACCATTGGTCCGATGGTCCATCTGAGCAGGACTAAAGAAATTAAGTGAATTAGGGTTAATGTTACCAGTAATAATATTAAGAATAATACTTACGTAGTACAATAACAGTTAAATTAAGAATAAAGCAAAGAAATCAGGCCCCATCCCTGTTCTGGAAAATCAGAACTGCAACGCGATTGTTGAGAACATTAAGTGGCTGTGGGCATTTAGAGTTAAAATTGAGGATTTAAATACTAGTGGAATTAATATTTACCAAATAAAAAAATAAGAAAAGGACAGTTCCAATCAGATCCGAATAAAATATAAGGAAATCAGACCCAAGCTATGCGAAATTTCTATGCAGAAATCTTAAAACGAAGCCTGGAGATAGAAGTTTGTGATTATTTTCTGAATCAGCTAATAAATATAATTATATTTACCTTAAAAGCTAGTGATGCGGTAAAGAAAGATGAATATTGGCGATACTCGAATAAAATATAAGGAAATCAGACCCATTACTATGCGAAATATTTACACAAAGTCCAGGGTATTTTCTTTGAATGGAAAAAGCTAATAGAACAGAGAAATTAGAAATTAATGTTGGTTCACAATACTCACTATGAATATATTGAAAATAAAACAAAAATCAGAAAATCAGACCGGATGACAGACACCCCCGGACCGATGCTCCAGTTTACTTGACAAAGTTATGTTAAATGGTAAAGGCTGTGGACATTTGGAGTTAAAATTGAGAATTTAAATACTAGTGGAATTAATATTTACCAAATAAAACAATAAAAAAAAAGAGCAGTTCCAAATCAGATCCAATTCCGGACTACAAACACCATTGGTCCGATGGTCCATCTGAACAGGACTAAAGAAATTGAATTGAAAGTGAATTGGGGTTAATGATACCAGTAATTATGTATATTAAGATTAATACTTACGTAGTAAAATAATAGTTAAATGAAGAATAAAGCAAAGAAATCAGGCCCCATCCCTGTTCTGGAAAATCAGAACTGCAACGCGATTGTTGAGAACATCAAGGGGCCCCCACAATAATAATAAATGGTTAAGGCTGTGGGAATTTGGAGTTAAAATTAAGAATTTAAATACTAGTGGAATTAATATTTACCAAATAAAAAAAATGAAAAGGACAGTTCCAATCAGATCCCAATAAAATATAAGGAAAGCAGACCCATTACTCTGCGAAATTTTCACGCAATAAAGTCCAGGGTATTTTCTTTGAATGGAAAAGAGCTAATAGAACAGAGAAATTAATGTTGGTTCACAATACTCACAATGAATATATTGAAAATAAAACAAAAATCAGAAAATCAGACCGGATGACAGACACCCCCGGACCGATGCTCCAGTTTACTTGACAAAGTTATGTTAAATGGTAAAGGCTGTGGACATTTGAAGTTAAAATTAAGAATTTATATACTAGTGGAATTAATATTTACCAAATAAAACAATAAAAAAAAAAGAGCAGTTCCAAATCAGATACAATTCCGGACTACAAACACCATTGGTCCGATGGTCCATCTGAGCAGGACTAAAGAAATTAATTGAATTAGGGTTAATCTTACCAGTAATTATGTATATTAAAATTAATACTTACGTAGTAAAATAATAGTTAAATGAATAATAAAGCCCCATCCCTGTTCTAGAAAATCAGAACTGCAGAACGATTGTCGTAATTTAAACATAAAGAAGCTGAGGGAATAGAGATATTAATTTAAGTTACTTAAATTATTTAAGATACTATGTATAGATGTAGATAGTCAAAATCTGATTTAAAGACATAAGGTGACAAAAGTTAATATTTTTAAAAAATAAATATAATTACCAGGCCCATTTTTGTAGAATAAAATAATGAAGCTGAAAAGGAGAAAAAAAAAATAAAAATATAAATATTAATAAATAATTTTGTCAATAATAATAAATAATAAAGAAATGAATAATAAAGAAATGAATAATAAAGAAATGAATAATACATAAATCAATAATAATAAATAAATAGTTTTTTATTATTTTGAATAATAAAATATTAATATTTATTATATTAATATTAATTATTATATTATTATATTAATATATATTAATTATTTAAATTTATTTATTATTATTTTCATATTATATTTTTTTTTTCATATATTAATATATTTTCAATAATATTGAATATTCATTTTAATAATTATCAAAATAATAATAGCGAAAAAAAAAAAATAATAAATGAATATTAAATAATGCTGAAAAATAATTAATATTAAATAAATACCTGATTAAACACTTTCACTTTTTAGACCAATTTATATTTTTCATTTTTCAAACTATTTAATATTTTTCACAATTTATTGAAAACTTTTTATTTATTTTATTTTATTATTTAGACCCGAACTCGGCGAGGTCCGGAGACGAACTGATTTAATTTTGGGCTCCGGTCAGGGCCCTTGAATTTTGGGCAATGCCAATTCGGTTCAAGGACTACTTGTCAGGAAGCTCAAAATGCCACGACTTCTGTGATGCAGAAATTCAGGATTTTTCATTTTAAACTGTTTACACAGAATTGGTCACACTTAACAGAGAATCTTAAAAAGAAACCCATCTAGAGGATAATTGAAAACGATGATGATTTATGCCGGGGCATGAGGATGAGAACGACTCTACTGTGGGTGGGTGGATCGGAGCATGTGGGGGGTATAAATTAAACACCTTTCCGAAGCGCTATAAATAATAACAATAACAATAACAAATAGCGGCCAAAACAAACGTAAACAACGAACCATTTTTGGGTGCAAATGGGACACACACAGCTCGGCTGATAACCGCAAAAAATGTCAGTGGAGACAACCTGGAATAGATCACGTTTCTGCATTTCTCACACCCCACCACAATAATACTACCCCCCCAACCCAATAGCTGGATCTGGGCCTCTTATACAATCCACCTGGACTGGACTTGGCTCCGAGTTCTAGATGGGGGATGTTCCGGGAAGTGCATCATCAACAACTATAGTGATTCTTTAGAATCTTGATAGAGGAGGCACTACTGCAATTGGATATTGGAACACCATGACACTATGACTATGATTTTTGTTTACTTTCAGTTATTATTCGATTGCAGGTGAGTGACCAGACCCGACTATGAACTATATATGTATGTATGTATGGCGGAACTTTGAGCTGCCCTCCCCAGTCCATTCATTCATTTTGCAGTAAACACAATAGCCAGAACCAGTCATTTAGCAACTATTCCCAGCCAGGGCCATTTGTGGACTATACTACGATAATTGCAGCTAAAAAAAAAAGAGAAACGAATGCAATTCGATCTCGAACTGGATATCGTTGTCTTCCGCTATTCAATTGCCGTAAAACGCAATTTCGAACAAGTTGCATAAGATCCAGATATCCAGATATAGATGAGGGGTTTCAATTGCCCCGGGGATTACCAAAAGAGATCAGAGAGAGAGAGAGTATCTCTGTAATATATTATATCTCAAGCTTGAAATATCAAATATTCGAAGCCCCCTCGATAAGCAAGGGTCAATTGACAAGTGGCTTGGTTGGCTAATCTACGACGGATTCGAATGAATATAGTATTGTATTGCCCCCAAAAAAAAAAAAAAATAAATATTTCACACTCCCCGGGGCCTGGACCCCGGATCACGAGCTGTGTGCTCTTTTCTGGCGTTATTTGTTTACGATTATAAACAATAAACACATTTATGACCGGGCCATATAAAAAAAAGAATGTGTGCGAATTTGTACGGGGGATCGAAGCTCCGTCCGGGTTCCTATCCCCCCACAATACTGGGTACTGGGTAGTGGGTACTGGAGAGTGTAATTAGAATGGTTGCCGAAAACCCCACAGCTGATAAGCTCACATGCCAAATAAAAACTCGGAATTTTGGAATGAATCCAAGAAGAAGTCTTGCTCTGAATAGATCGGAGGTTAATGGAAGGTTGGAGAGATAACTTTATTTCCGGACCACCACGGGTTCTCGTCCCGAGGAGATCATTGTCGACAAACCACTTGACTGATAAGCCCCAGAAATAGGAATTTAAATTGTAATGCTCCATGAGCCAAAAAAAAGACCTCTATGGCTATACTATTATCGTTTATTGGTTCGGTCCCTTTGATTATTGACTTTTGACTATTTACTATATGTACTTCTGGGGCCGACCACCAAAGTCTTAAATTTTCAACTCAACCCACGCAAGATTAGGCCTCGAGGGAGGGTTGATTCACCAGCAGAAGTACTTGGAATATCTCCACGTTTTTGCCAGAGATACTCTATCTTCGAGATAATCAAATTTGAATGGGGCTATGGGAGGTATATATTTGGCCAATTTGTAATTATTTCAGATAAGGTGTGGCGTCGTTTAAAGTTTCTAACTACCTACCTGGCTACTAAACTGGTAATCCCAGTGCATAGTTTTCACTAAAAACAAGGGAAAGTAAAAGTGCCAAGTTCAGGCGGTCTATCAGGCGATAATACCATCAAGACCCCCGATAAGCCCTCTATTGTACAGACCCTAATTAATTCATGTTTTTTTTTTTTTGAACCCTCTGGATGGGCCCTATATCTATTGTTCCCAACCAAAATCTGTCAATTCTGTTGCCATAGTGGATTAATATTTTTGGGTACTGAGATTGATAACCCCCCCCCCACACACACACACAAACACTGGAATTTCATTATTTATTTATTTTTTTTTTTGTCAAGAGTCGAGTGCTTTTGGAGTGAATATTGGAGTACTCCTCCCCCCGGGTGGGCTTATCAGGTGCAAAAAAAAAAAAAAGGGGGGCGGGGATTGGTCGGTGGGGCAACTAAATCGGCGCAGTTGCATAAATCAATCGATCGTCGAGAACTTTCCCTATCGAGAAAGGAATTCGATAACGCCAGAAGTTCCCAGACGCAGGCGAAAGTTTTGTGCCCGGACTCCGGATACGGTTTTATTTTATGGGTTGCCCGCACCAGCTACTACAACTCAGTGCAATATATGTACATGGCTGATCCGCCGAATCCGCGATAACGGATCGGCCGGACCAATAACCTTGAGATTTCAAGTGTCTCAGCGGGGGAGGAGACATGAAATGTCGGCTTGGAATTCACAGAATCACCAAATACGGAATGGTATTTATTATCGGGAACCTTATCGAATTTATGGATGGACAATATCAGGCCATTTCTGATTCTATGAATAGTAATAGCCATCAAATTGTTTGTTTTTTTTCTTCAGAACTTCCTAACCTCACAAATCTTGAGCTTTTTGCTTTTGTGTGTAACGGTAAATCGCATACATATGTAACGGCGGTACACGACAGCTGTTCCTGTGCGTGCGTGCCTGTGGAGGGGAGTGGAAAAATTTGGTGGGAATCGATATCAATAGCCCCGAACGATGGTCAGATAGTGTATGTACTAACTTAGTGGCTCAACGCTGTTGGCTCTAGTTGATGGTTAATCAATGTCACTTGCTTAAATATGCGAACATAACCTCAAAGGGCACGCGCCGCCTACGGCCGAGCTAGGAGGAAGGCGCATGCGAGGGCGACGGCAAGTAGTGGCGGGCCGAGAAGGACGAAAGTGTGTCAGCCGGCATCCATACAACCCACGAGCACGCCCACTCACGGAATGAAATCCTCTCCCAACGTCAAAAAGCGTGGGAGTGGCGGAAGGAAAGAAAAAAAAAAAAAAGAGGATTTTAATGGTAGGAAAAAAAAAAATACCAAACTGATTGTGCAATCTAGAAAAAAAATTATGAGAGGGCTTGAGCCCAGGCAGCGCCAGCCACACATGTTTGATATTTTTTTTTTTTCAGAGTATGCTAATCAAAGCAACTACTACTATGTACTTATCAAAGGCGGCACAAGAAATTTGTAATTGTTTTTGTTTTTTTTTTTGTGTTCGGTGTTCGGTTTTCGGTTTGGGTGCTTCTTCTTCCGCGTTTCGGTGCCCTTGAGTTTGTCCTTTTTGAGCAGCTCTGCTGGCGGAGCAGTCGACGTGAGCAGCAGAGGCGGTGGCAGCGCTGGGAGCTTTCAGCTGTTATACGCTGCGCATGTAAACTGGTTTTGGTATAACACTTTTATCCGTTTACCGAGAGAGAGAGGATAAACAATGAGAGAAGAAGGGGGCGGGAGAGCCCGGAGAACCCGGAGAGAGCGCGTGTAGGAGGCTCGTCACCCGGCCTGCGCATGTGTTGGTGTGTGTGTGTCTGTGAGTGGAATTTTCTCTTACAACAAAACCCAGCAGGTTATTACAAAAATATGTAAATTATATATGTAAAACTTTTCCTAAAAGCTAGTTGGTTGAATTTATAATATAGAGATAAAGTATTTAAGAGTTAATTAATAACTTATTTATATATGCTTAAAAGAGGTAATTCAGTACTATATTTTCAAAAAGTCTTCAAGAATAAGGGTAATCACCCAAAAACACGTTCAAATTTAAACCACCCGCCCTTAGGTGAATTCCCGTTAATATAGAGATGCCAGAGGTAGCATCAAGGCTGCCATATATGAGGAAAACCATCGCCAAGCTATCGATAACTTTTTTCGTCGATAACAGTGCTGCCACCTGGCGAAAAAAAACAGGCCGAACTTTCTCGTCGAAATCGAATTTCATTTATAAGATTCCGACAGCCATCATTCGAGGCAATTGTCAAGCAGCAAACAGCGAAATTTTCGTGTGATTTTCAGTCAGAAATCAAGTAAACAGTTAAACCAAACAAACAAAATGGTTCGTCGTGGACGTTCTGCCAGCCCCCCGCCATCCGCTCGTCGGTAAGTTAACGAAATCCGGAAACAAAGCACGGGCCAAGATAAAGGAAACGACAAAGCGCCACCAGGAGGAGGAAGAGCATTTCGTAATCGCCTGAGGATCGGAACATCATTGTCTTCCGATACCGGGTAGCATTCCCTCACCCACCGTCGTTTTGCGGGGCACCTGAAAAATGAGTTACGGTTACGTAACCTATAAAAAATAAGAGCATTGGAGGAGACCCCATAATGTGGGATGTTCCAGTGTTGAGGCCTTGGATTGTCAAGGTTCTACCTGAAGCTCTATTGTTTCCTCTATCTTGGCTAGTGTCTTAAATGCCTTAATAGTTTTTTTGACCCATTCCATGGGGTTACCGAAGAGATAAGCTATAACGTTTATAGAAATGTGAGAATAATCTCAGAATCTGTTATGACTTGGCCTATAAAGGTACAAAGTTCAGCGAAGACAACTAATAGTAACCATACTCTTTCCAATTACAGTAGCGCACCGGCCCCAGCTCCCGCACCTGTGCCAGCACGTGCCGCAGCCCCACCACCACCACCGGCACCCGTTGCCGCTCCACCCAGCGCCGTGGGCATGCCGGCACCCCAGCAGCCGTCTATGTTCCAGCAGATGGCCGCCACCGCCGGTGGTGTGGCCGTTGGATCGGCTATTGGACACACCGTGGGCGCGGGCATCACCTCGCTGTTCAGCGGATCCGGCGACAAGGAGGCAGCTGCTCCAGCACCCGCCGCAGCGGCCCCGGCCCCCCAGCAGCAGTACTACGCCCAGCAGCCACAGCAGACGGAGCCGCAGGGTGCCTGCGCCTGGGAGATCAAGCAGTTCCTCCAGTGCGCCCAGGGTCAGGCGGACTTGTCGCTCTGCGAGGGATTCAACGAGGCGCTGCGGCAGTGCAAGCAGGCGCATCACCTGCAGTAGAGGCCGCCCCCCCAGATAGACCCACAAACTACCCACTACCTCGGCAGCACAGTATGGAGCACAGACACCTTCCGGGCGCCGAGCGCTTGTTTCTAATTTTCGTTTAGTTCTAATTGTTTTGATGAGAAGGCATCCAAAAGAGAGCATGTTTTAATGTAGTGCGAAGAAATGTTGAATAGATATGTTCTCCATTGGCAGTTTCCCACTGAATCCCCAGCATAATCCACTTCCGGTAACACACACTTCCCTCACCCTTTGGGATTGCCAATGGAAACGAAACAAAAAAAAAAAAAAATCGAAGCCAGTGTTTTAATTGTTTTTCCAAAACTTTAGCTAAGTTTATTATTTTATTTCTTAGTTTCTATTTTGGTTAAGTTTTCAAATAAGCCACAAAAGATTCTGTGAGACGACTTTTGTTTTCTTTCTGGAAATGAAAAGGTTTCTTTTGTTGTGAAATAAGGGCGCAAAATGAGCCTGCACTTCTATAAATACCCAAATCGATTCACATTCCCCCTATAATATAGACCCTTCTTCTGGGCTTCTTAGTCACGTGTCTGGGTTGTTTTTGTTTTTAAACGAGAGGTGAGATCGCAATTTGCGTCTAATTTGGTGAAATTTGTGGAACGTAAACATGTTTACAAACCCCCACATCTATATATATATATATATGTACATCTACTATATAGTCTACTTTTCATATTTATAGCTAATCGTCATTAGTCATAGCTGCTCCTATATGTAGGTTTTGGGACTTTGATTTTGACGAATGCTTTATAGGCTTTTACAGGCTATAGAGATTAGAGAACCGATCTACACATCGGTTTAAGTATTTCTCTTAGGAATCTGATAAATATTGAAAATATATACAGATATATAGCTGCTGCCAGAGGGCGATCGAGGCATTAACAGGGTTTTCGAAGGGAATCCCCCAGAAAAATTGATAAAAAAATTAAAAAAATATTTGGTTTCCATATTTTGATGCAGAATTATGGCAAATCGGTCTAGAAATCGTTTAAGGTATTCTTCTTGAGAATCGGATAAGAATTGGCTGAGATATACCCTTCGGAATGGGCCATAGGGGCCTTCCTTGGGGATTCCCTCCAGGGGATTCCCCAGAAAAATTGAGAAAATATCTCAAAAATATTTCATTTCCATATTTTGATGGAGAATGATGGCAAATCGGTCTACAAATCGTTTAAGGTATTCTTCTTAAGAATCGGTTGAGAAATGGCTGAGATATACCCTTCCGAAATGGGCCATAAGGGCCTTCCTTGGGATTCCAAAGGGGATCCCCCAGAAAAATTGAGAAAAAATCTCAAAAACATTTCGTTTCCATATTTTGATGCAGAATGATGGCAAATCGGTTTAGAAATCGTTTAAGGTACCCCGCTCAAGGCTGAGATACACCCTTCCGAGTGGGACATATAGACACTCCTAGGGGGGGATCCCCTAGAAAATCGTAGATGGGAACTTTTTCGAGGCATACTAGAAATTTTGCGCTTTATTTCAAGACCTACGGCAATGTGTCACGACAGTCGTAAGAAGTCTCAGAATCCGAGTGTTGTCCACATCCGCGTCCGGACCGACAGATTGGCTACTGCGAGATGTGGGAGGATGCAGGCTGACTGCAGGATGCGGGACACGGGATGCCGGTGGGATGGGACAACATCGTCGTCGCACATCTTTGATTTTGACGTTTGGGGCAGCACACTAGGGTCTTGACTGAAGAGAGCTGGTCAGGATTCCAGACCAATACGCCTCGCGAATCCATTAAGGTTAACGAAGTAAAACGACTAAGCCCACCCTAAGGGGGGGGGGGGTGTGGCAGTCAAACGATAAAAGTGTTGTCTTGCAACAAAACGAGGTCCTTGAAGGGCCACTGAAGGGATTGCCAAACGCTCATGGACGGCTACTCCGAAGCGTCGATTCGAAGATTAATTTGGAATTTTTTTTAGGAAATTTTCTGGCTTGTGGGTTGGTGGTTCATGTTGTGGGGGGGGGAGGGGATCTATAGCTTCTTATGCGGGATAGTGTTCCGAGACTGCATACTCCGGGCTGAGCTCCAGGAGGCGTGTGCTAGTGGTGGTGGTAGTGGAGCATGTCCTGGCATTTCACTCCTCAATTTGGTTAATTGCTGGGTCGATGGGCATCGGGATTGGGTTCTAAACTCCGGCAAGGAGTGTCTAGTGGTGGTACTAGAAGCGCCACCGATGTTCAAAGGTGTCCTTCTTGGAACGCGCCCACTCCCACTTCTCCTTGGTCATCAACATGGCCGCCGTTGTGGGCGGTTTCAGGCTCGGCACTGGGGGCGGCAGCCTGGCCGCCAACTTGCTGACCAGCGGCTGGTTGCGCATGGGTATCGGCTTGCGGAACGAGTCCATCCGGACGTACATTTTCGGGTCCTTGGGATCGGGTGTCTGGACTTTAGGACTCACCTCTGGTCGCCTGGGCGGGTGGACCGTCAGTGGCTTCTTGCTCTCCGGCTTGGGAGGTAGCCCGCCCCTTGCATACCCAGACCCAGGCTCCTTGCGGCTTGGAATCCCATCCCTGCAGGATAATCATTTGGTTTCCGTTTCTAAAGCTACTTGGGGGAGATACTCACTTGGTTAGCAGCTTCGTGCACTGGTACATCCTAGCTTGATTGGCCTGCATCGAACTGGTGGCCACCGCCTTCTCCATGATCCTGGGCGCCTCCAGGTCCTTGAAGGGATTGGGAACCTCGTTGACAGTGGCGCGATATGACGTCTCCACGCGGCGGAAGGACTCGGTGGGCGACCGCTTGAGCTTCGCCTTCTGCAGCTCGCCCAGGGCGACGACCTCCTGCGCCGGCAGCTTGGACCGGCAGCGGCTCTTGGGCGCGGCTCGCTCCTTGGCCTGTCTGTGCTTGGAGTAGGTCTGTTCGACCAACCCTGGTGCCGCGGAGGTCGAGCGTCTGGCGCCCGTCTTTCCGGCCACCATCGAGGCGTCTCGGCCCAAGAGGGTCAGCAGTGATGGCTTCTTTACGACTTGGACGACGCGAGGCCGCTTGGCACCGTCCATGTGATGCAGGTTGATGTCTTTGCCGGACGAGCGGAGGTTCATCAGCGCGAGGCCTAGGGGATCGATGCCCACAGAGGTGCTCCGCTCCAGGTCGGGGCCCGGAACGGTCGAGTAGGGACGCACCGGTCCCAGGGTGGCGGGCTCCCGGCTCAGCGGGACGTGGCAGCGGCCCTGCTCAAGGAGTTGGCGGGTGGGGGCGTTGGGCTGGTACTCGATCCGGTAGGGGGTGGCGCGGGACTCTGACACAGGTAGCAGGTCGGCTAGATGTTGCTTAAGCAATGCTCGCTCCGCGGGCCGCGACATCGCGGCATCCACGGGCTTGCTGCTGGCCTTGGTCGGTTTGGGGGCCGCCACGCCTCCCTCCCCCACCTTTGATCGATTCTGGACCTTTGCCTCCTTGGCGGTTGACCCTTTCAGCGACAGCTGCCGGGATCGCGCCCTGGAAGACTCGCTTACTGGATGATCCTCCTCGTCCTCGGCCTCCTCCAGGCTTTCCAGGCTATCCACGCTGGTGTTCGACTGTCGCAGTCGGCGAATCCGGCCCTGGTAGCCGTGCTCCTCGGCCAGGAGCAGGTTCGACTTGGCCGCCTTGATGGTCGGCAGGAGGGAGGGCTTCTTTCGGGACCCCAACTGTTTCGCCACGCGCCCTAGTCCACCCCAGGGGGACATCTTCTTCATCTCGCTCCACACCAGGGGCGACTGGTGTCCGTCTTCGTCGTCCTCGTCATCCGACTGCCGCGTTACCATCTGGGCACTGGAACTGTCGCTGTTGATCTGCAGGTGCTCCTGCTCGACCGGCCCGCCCTGGAAGTCGGGCACCGGCAAGTGCTCCTCGGAGCGCCGCCACTCCTCCAGCTCGGAGATCGGCACCGGATCGAACGCCCGACCGCGGTGCGAGTACCGGCGGTGACGGCGCAGTTCCCGGCGCACGCTGGACTGAGCCATTGTCCGGCCGCTCCGGGTGGCCTTCAGCTTTTCGAGGAGATGATCGCGGCGTGGCTCCGCACCTCTGTCCTCGACGGGCACCCACTTGGCGGCCAACTCTGGCTTCATCAGCTCCAGCGTCTGCTGCTGGCTGGTGTCACTGTCGTCGGAGTCCTCCTCGTCGTCCTCGTAGCCCCGGCGGGGAACCTCCCCCAGCTTCGAGTTCGACCGACATCGTTCTATGATCAACTCCTCGTGCTCGGCCTCGGCCTCGGTTAGCTCCAGTTGGGGCACTGAGCGCCGCTTCATCGCATAGCACCGGTTGGAGAGAAAGCCTGTCCAGATATTCGAGGAAGGCAGAAGCAGGGGTCGCAGGTTGGTCTTCCGCCAGTGGTGCCAGTGGCGGGCCTGCATTGTCTTGGGCGCGTACCGGCTGCGAATCGGCAGACGGCAGTTGGATGAACGCCTCGTGACCAGATCGGTGCTCAGGAACCGCATGCTGGAGTATCGCTTCAGGATCACCACGGCCAGCTTGCGCTCGAGGCGCGTGCTGAAGCTCACGTAGGGTCGCCACAAGTCCCCCTGAATGCCCGATCTACTTACCAGACTGGCCATGTGCCGGGGCCACATTGTCCTCGATTGTGGGCCGTATAGTTGGGTGACCATCTCCCGGAGGGCACCGCCCGTGTTCTGGCCGCCGCCTCGGGATATGTTGATGGCAGCGGTGCAGGTCTGACGGATAACGGAGAACAGGCGTCCAGCTGTAAAGGATCAGTTTGTATGTAGATCTCTGGATCTCTAATATCCGGAAAAGAAAGACTCGCGACGAAGAACTCACCTTGCTGGGGCCGCACCACTTGCTTTTCCGCATGTGCCACTAGGCTGTGCATTTTCCAGGCAATTTTACTCGAAACGGTTTTCAAAATTGGATAAAAATCGTAAAAACAAAATAGAAAAAACGGAAACACAAATAGTTTGGGGAGGTGGATGCTTTCGCCTCGGAGCTATAAACTAAACTGAGCCCAGGACGGAATGTTCGGCCCCAGGCCATCTTGACAGCTGTCAACCAAGGTCATGGCCTGCTCGTTTTTTTAATATTTGAACATATTTTTTCGTTGGCTTACTAACGAGCCTTATTCAACAATCGATAAATAATCGATAGGTATGCAGAAACCTATAAATAGTCCGAAAGTTCTTAAAATAATCGATAATTATTTCAAAATCATACAAGCACTTGAAGAAATACCTAACTTTTCTTCGGTAAAATCGATAGCAATCGATAAATAATCGATACGTAGGAAAAAACCTAAAAACAATCCATCAACTGCCGAAAGTTCTTAAAACAATCGATAATTATTTCAAAATCATACAAGTAACTGTCCTTTCGTCGAAAAAAAAATCGATAAATAATCGATTGGTAGTTAAAAACCTAAATATAATCCAACAACGGCCGAAAGTTCTTAAAATAATCGATAATTATTTCCAAATCATACAAGCACTTAAAGAAGTGCCTGCCCTTTTGGTCGAAAAAATCGATAGAACTCGATAACTTATCGAGAAGTAGGCAGAAACCTATACAAAAATCCATAAACTGCCGAAAGTTCTTAAAATACTCGATAATTATTTTCAAATCATTCAAGTACCTGTCCTTTCGTCGAAAAAATATCAATAAATAATCGATTGGTAGGTAAAAACCTAAATATAATCGAACTGCCGAAAGTTCTTAAAATAATCGATAATTATTTCCAAATCATACAAGCACTTGAAAATGTACCTGCCGATATCGATAATTAATCGAGAAGTGGGCAGAAACCTATACAAAAATCCATAAACTGCCAAAAGTTCTTAAAATACTCGATAATTATTTCCAAATCATTCAAGTACCTGCCCTTTCGTCGAAAAAAAATCGATAAATAATCGATAGGTAGTTAAAAACCTAAATATAATCCAACAACTGCCGAAAGTTCTTAAAATAATCAATAAATACATATCATATACATATCATAATCATTCAAGTACTTGACCTTTCGGCGACCAAATCGATAACAATCGATAAATAGTAAAAACCTCTATAAATAATTGTCATCATCTCTGGAATGTTCTTAAAAAAATGGATACTTAATTAAAAGTAACAAAAACACTTGAAAAATATTAAATATTCGCCCAAAAAAAAAAAATCGATATATAATTATTGTATAATGACACAATTGCGGCGTTTAAATGTATTACAGAATAATTGGTTTGACTTATCTACGGACTTATTCCTAAAATGTTGTATAATCTTTTATGTACCAATTATCGTGGCTGGTGGGAGCGTTGATGCCATCTCGTTCAGATTGCCTCTTCCGTCTCGCTCGCTCTCTCTGTATCAGATTTAAGGTATCAGGTTTCACTAGATTTGTTGGATTAATTCGAATAATCGGCCTAATTTCATTTACAATTCCAATAAAAATCCTATTTCCGAATTAAAAGGTCTAAAAGATCGAACATTAATTAATTAAAAGAAACCGATTCTAAGCGGTGGGGGGGTGGAAGGGGCAAGGATGGGGTCTAATCCCAAGGTTACTCTTCCAGGCGCTGGCGCTTGGACGTGGTCTCCGGGTCTATGGGGTCGCGTCTCACCAGACTCTCCAGCCTCTTATTTTTAGCTTGCTTCTCGCTGTTCAGCTCGGAGAGGATGCGACGGTTCTGGAACCGCTCTAGGATGGCCTCCGCCCGGCTGATGACCTCTTGGACTTCCAGTTTATCCACCATCTGCACCTGCGTCTGCGCCATCGCCTGATCCTGCTTCTGCTGTTCCTCCAACTGCTCCCGCACGCTATCATTGTAGTCGGGCTCCTCGAACTCGTAGTACCAGTCGCTGAGAAAGCATTTCCTCATGGTGGCCCTTTTGAAGACTAGTCCCTGACGTTCCCGCGGCTCCCCGCGGAGCAACCACTGCAGCCTCTCGGTAGCGAAGACTTCCACCAGGCCGAGGTAGTCCCGGGGTGTGCGCTCCAGACACTTGATGGCCAGCATAGAGATCATCTCCACCAGGTCCTCCTGCTGCGACTGTGTGGCGTAGTCCAGGACCCACTGGCACTGCTCCTCCTCCCGTTCGGGCACGGGCCTCATTGTGGGCATTTTAGCGCGCTCCAACAGATCCACGATTCTCTGGCGGCGCTCCGGTGTTTCCCATCCAGGTTCAAAGTACTCCAGCCGGCTGGTGTTTATGGCTGCGAGTCCCGACAAGGGTTCCACGAAGACGCGCAGCTCCTCGGGCAGCCGGGGAGCGTGTCTCAGGTCCTCGCCCAGCACCAGCTGCATGCGACGCACTGCCTCGTTATAGAGCCTCACGCAGTACTGGGGGCTCTGGCGACATCTCCTTCGGATGGTGTCGTTGTACTTCAGCCGGCGGAAGAGCTCCTGTCCGAGGTGCCAGATCAGCAACTCGCGAAGCTCCCCTTGCTGCAGCTTCGGGACGATCTTAGCCCTGCCCAGGAACTCGACGGCGCTCCGGATGTGAGATAGCAAGCGCTCCCGGTTGTTTCCAGTATATCTGAGTGGGAAGATCCTCCAGTGGCGAAGGCCCATCTCCTCCAGCGGCGGCTCGGGATCATCCAGTTGGGTATATGGATATTGCAGGATCAGGGCCACATCCGGGCAGCCACTGGCCTGGACGAGTTGCTTTAGACGCTGGCCCAGTTGGGGAAAGTGCGAAGCTTCAGCCAGGCAAAGGATGCCATCGGCATCCTGAAGATCCTGCGGATCCCAGTGGTCCCGGACCTTCACAACGCTCAGGGCTACGTTCTGGGCCAGTCCACGGATATAGCCGCCGGGCTCCATGCGGGCATCCGGCGCCTGGGGCTGCTGCAGCAGTCCTCGGTCCAGGTCATTGTTCAGCTGAAGGCCATCGTCTCCGGCGGGCAGCATAATTAGAAGCTTGTAGAATCGCCGGGCACCTGGTACCTTAACGGGCAGGCATTGGGCCAAAACGCGCCACAGGTCCAGCTTCAGCCAGGTCTTCTCCTCGAGGCCGGCTAAGAGCTTCTTGTAGTCGCAGGCCTCGCCCTGTCGGTAGCGCCGAATCAGGCGCACGGACTCCTCCACATGGCGCTCATCCAACAGGCGTTTCGGGGTCTCCGCCACGAAGCTCAGCGGCAGCTGGTTGAAGAGGACATCCTTCTTCTGCTGGATGCCGCGGTAGTTGCGCCAGCGACGCCAGTATAGCCGCATCAGACCCTTTTCGTAGATAGCCTGCTGGTGCTCTTTCTCCGCCAGCTCAGACACGACGTTTTCCACCAGGTCCTGGTAGCACTGATAGACTGCCTTCTGCAGGGCCAGCTCCTGCTGGCACATCTCCTTGATGGCGCCATTGAGCAGTTCCCCATAGAACTGGTTGGTCAGCTCCGTTTGACGTTTCTTCCTTTTAAGCTGCATCTCTCGCCGTTCCTTCACGCGCTGTTCCTTTTCTCGCTGTTCCTTTTCTCGCCTCTCCCTCTCTTCCCGGAGCCTCTCCTGCCGCAGCATCTCTTTCTCCTCCTTGATCCGGGCCAGCTCCAGACGGCGCTGCCTTTCCAGCTCCTGCTGCTCCTGTAGCTGCTTCTGCAGCTCCTCCTGGCGACGCTTTAGCTCCTCGGCCTCCTGGAGATGGCGCAATTTCTCCTGGCGTACGCGCTCCGCCTCCTCCTCCTCGGCCTTTCGAAGGGCCTCCATCTCGGCAGCCTTAAAACGCTGCTCGGCCAGCCGCTGCTGCTCCTCCAGTTGAGTCTGGCGCGTGGGCTGGGGCAGCACGAAACGGAACGTCGTAGAGGGCCCCGCTGCGGGCGCTGCCGGAGCTGCCATCGGAACTTTAAAGAATGAGTCAGCGTTCGGTGGTCTATGGAATGGCTGGGTCGTCCGGGCAGGCGGGGGAGAACGGCGGTTTGCCGCCGCCTCCATCTCGGCTTGCATGCCGGGCAGCTGGTCCTTGGCCTCCCAGGCTATGCTCTTGAGGACACCGTGCTCGTTGAAACTGTTGTGGGGTCGGTGGTTCAGGTAGAGGGATTTCGGAGGCAGGGGCTCCCCGCTGATACACTCGCCAACGGACAGCTGGCGCTTGGACTCCACCAACTGGAAAAGAAAGTATTTACTTGAGAATAGTACTAGTTACCTGAAGGACCTACCATTATCTGTCGCCTCAGCTTGTACTCGGACTCCACGGTGTGCATTCGGGTGAGAGGGACACGCCCCGCACTGTTCACTTTCAGACCGTAGTGATGCACGAATTCGGCCGCCTCCTGGGTGTCGCCGCAGCCCAGAATCTGGGAGACATAACTGAGCGGTAGCGAAGAAACCTCGTTCTTCCGGGGTGCCCTGTAGGCCATGATCAGCCGCTGGAGGGCAAGGACGCGGAGTCGCGTGAAGTATGTGACCAGGATGCAGGCACTAAGGTAACTGGTCTCCTTGTCCCGCAGCAGCTGGAAGAAGCGGACGATGTTGGTGTCCTGGAGGGCGAGGTAGAACTGAATGGCCTGACGCACGTCCTTGCAACTCTGCAGCTCGGCCGGCAGCTGGCCAATGTCCCAGAGGAAGTTGGCATCCGCCAGGTTGAGCAGGACGATGTAGCCGCGGAATTCCGCCTCCTTTGGACACTGCACACCCTTCAGGCGCAGATCGTGGTACATGTACTTCAGGGTCTGCAGGCACTTGGTGAGATTCTCCGCATTGATCTTTGAATCGAAGACGCTGGGATCCTCGGCGACTAGTCGGGCGGCGCAATGGATGTGGAAGCGGGCGCACTGCTCCACCAGCTTCACAACGCCCAGGGAGCAGAGTTCCTGCTGGGTAATTTCCTTCCGGATGGAGCGAGTCCGGTCCCACACGAAGTGAAACCAGTCACCCAGATGCAGGTCGGGGTTCTCACTAATGTCCATCATCTCGTGCATCAGATAGCTCATAGTCATGTGGAGGGCGGACTCGCCGCGCAGCTCGTGGGCGAGGGGTGTCTCCTGGTCGGCGCTGCTGCGCGAATACTGCTTCAGAGCCCGTTCGTGGCAGATGAGCTCATCGGAGTTGGGCTGTAGCTCGTAGACGGCCACCTGGCGCTGGAATTCGCGCAAGGCCCGTTCCTTTTCTGGGCACATGTCCGGGCAATATCCCTCTGTAGCTGTGCTGGACCTTTTTTGGTTCTGGGAGCGCTTGTGCGACTGGTTCAAACGCAGCAACTTGTCTCGGGCGTCCAGAACGCGATATCTTTCTTCGGCAGTGTGGGCGGGACGTCGGAGTAGGGACTCCATCTCCCTTTCTTGTTGTGTGTGCGGACGGTCTCTGTTGGTGGTGGTGGTGGTTCCTCCTCCTCCTCCACCGCCTCCGCTTCCTCCATGCGGCAGTTTGGAGGTGGATGCCTGTGAGGAGGACTGGGATTGGAAAGAAGTAGTCCTCTTGGTCGTAGCCTTTCCCGCCGAATATTCGTTTCTCCATGGTGCGCTAAGGGCACTGAGCTCAGCCTGTACTTCGGGGTCTACCCACTCCTCTGTCTTTTGGGCGGGAGAGTTCTCGTTCTCCGCATAGGATATGTCAAACTTGCGGCCGTTAAAGGTGTCGCCCTCCCGCAGGGCCCGCTCCGCCTCTGCCTCCGTGCCATAGCTTACCGTACAGGTCATTCGGCGGGGTCGCAGGACAAAGTTAACGAGCGTTCCAAATCGCCCGAAATGCGACCGCGCCACAAATTTGTCGAGGAATAGGTCCGGTATGTTTTTGCATCTACGCGAAGGGAAAATTATGTGATCTTAGGGTATTAAAATAGATGGAAGTACGCACAGTAGTGTCTTGTAGTTGTAGGCGCCAGGGCGGATATCCGCCATTGAACACCGAGGGGATTTCTATTGAAATATTTTCTTGCAAAAATCGTCTATTGTTTTGGAGGTGGTCTCGTCTGGCCTTCTGACCGGCGTGACACGAAGATTCGCGACTCGCGACTAGTGATGGTAGCTGGTTTCCCGCCTAGTCGCGTGGATGAAATTTTCTATTTTATTTTTAAGTTACTGAATATTAAGTTACAATTTCTGTTTTTTTTTTTTCTAGAGCTGACGTATTAAATTTATTTTTATTTTTTTATAAATTTAAAAAAAATCTATCGCATAATATCGCATTGGTATTTTACTAGAGCCGAATAGTGTGGCCAACTATCGTTTGGAAGGAATGCGCTCAATAGCCTTTTTTCCAATAGCTAGATCCAGCTAAAAAAAAAAAATACCAAATGCCGCCACACAGCCACACACCTTCCAGGTGGAAGCCATCGTCGTCCACCTCTACTGTTTACAAATTTGAATCGTGAGTCGGGAAGGTCGTGTGCTGCTGCGGCTCGCGTCCGCAATTTGCTACATTTTTTTTTTTTGAGTTTAAACAATGCACTGTTCGCCGATCGCAGAGCGCGGGCAGCAAGTGTTGCAGTGTCCGGAATTGAATATCGAGATATAAAAAACAGTGAAAAGCGGCGACGCCAGCAGGAAAAGCGCCGACGGAGCAGTGGCAGATAAGCTATTTAAGCAGCGCTGGCAACGAAAAAACAAAAAAAAAAAAAATGATCGGGCCGAAGAATTGTTGGTAGGATCAACACCAACAAAAACAAATGCGAAAAACCAAAAAGTGAGCTACTGGAAAAGCGAAAACGGTTAACGGTTCTACTAGGTGCAGCATAGGAGAATATATATAGAGACAGAGACGCGTTTATTATTATTTATTTTTTTCGTATCTACGTTTTTTTTTTTTTTTTCTTTTTTTCGTTTCATACGTTACGACGTTTCCGATGATCTTGGCCTGGCCCGCTATTTTTTTTTTTTTGTTGTTTTTGTTTTTTTTTGTCGTAACTCGTTTTGTGAGCGCGTGTGATTCATGCAAATGCAAAAACAGCAACAAAGCCACTCGGAGTCGAGAGTGAAGTATGCTAAGTAAATACAAAGCAAAGTGGGTGCGAGTGAGAGGGAAAGAAGCGTGTGCATCCTGTGAATGCATTTTTGAGATCCTTATGAGACTAGCAAGATTCTTTAGCTATTTTTCAACTAGATAGTACAGTGTTTAAATGTAGTATCCTATTTTAGGGCCCTTTAAGTCTTTTAATATAAAAAATAATTCCAATTTGAGTAGGAATTGCTTTTAGGGATTCAAAAATAGTCGACTCCTAACGGCGCTTTGGCATTTCCCTCGAATGCAACGTCTGGTCACACTAGGCGAGAGAACGCGTTTGCCTGGCGTTTTTTTTTTGCCATCAGTGGCCCGCGAAACGACATCCAGACCTCGAAAGCATCTGCCTTTCTTCCGAAGTGCCAGTGCCAGTGTTTCCACAGACCGGAGGTCCAGAATCCTTCCAGAATTACACTTGTAATTGTCTCTGGTTAACCGTTAGCAGTGCCCCGGGGTACAGTGCGGGTGTCGAAATCCAAAAAAAAACTGAATTTTTTTTTTAAAGGCTTGAATTATATTTACTAGTTAGTCACAGTGACCGCCTCTCACTCTAGCAAAAACCTATTCGTTCCTCTCTCTTTCTAGGCCGCTGGCGTAGATTTAAAAAAAAAAAACAAGTGATCGGATCTGATCGGATCTGATCTGATCCTCCCCAGGTACGCAGGCGTCTCGCTTGCAGCTGCCCAGCAACCCGACAAACAGGCAACAGAAGAAGAAGAAGAAGAAGCGAGCTGATAAAGATGCGGCCGCAACGAAAACAACAACAACAACAACAACAAGCTGCAGTTGAGGCTACTACTGGCCATCATCCAGCACTGAGTAGTATTCGCGTAGAGTATCTAAAAAAAATAGAAAACTAAAATAGCGTGTAATTAACGGTTGTGTTTTTGTGAAAAAAAAAAAATGGAAAGTGCATCACTACTACGATAATCCTCGAAAAAATCGAATTACGAATTATACGAATATCTATATCTATATATTATTTTAAAACTCGAACGAAAGATAACCAAACGATAAAATATGAAGGTCACTGTATGTTTCGGTGATGTCCGCATTCTGGTGCCCTGCGGTTCCGGGGATCTTCTGGTCAGCGATTTGGTCAAGGAGGCGACACGTCGCTATATCAAAGCAGCCGGCAAGGTGAGTTAGTTAGTTACCCCCCTTCCCCCCCACCAAAAAAAAAAAAAATAAACTATCTCTATCTATAAGATACATTTATGCTTCCCCGGAAATTATGCACTTGAGGAGTGATGTAATTACTTGTGAGGGAAAAAAAAAGGTTCTTCATTGGCGCTTGCAAGGAGGGAGGGAGGGGAGGGTCACACACACACACACACACACACATGTGTGTCTAGCCAGAGCCTAGGTAAAATATTTGAATAATGATAAGCCAGCGAGTCCGCAGCCGCAGCCCAAAAATGTGAGTGACAGAGAGAGGGGGGGGAAGAAGAGATAACAACAACAAACAAATCGAAGAAGAAGAAAGAAAGAGAACTGAGAACGAAGAACGAAGAATTGGGCACCGGGAAGAGAAGACTCTGCCCAAGAAGACTCAAGAATTATAATAAAAGTCAGTCGAGAATCAAAATGAACATTTTTGATATCTTTTTGAACTCGTTTGAACCCAAGATTGGATCGGTTTTGGGTTCTGGGTCTTGGTCTGGGGAGTGGGAGCGACAGGTAACCCGAACCCGCAAAGAGGGGTGCAGAGAAATGCACTTTACAGCCCCAGAGATGCACCTTAATTAATCAGAAAGGTAACCTCCGAGCGAGTCCAGAACCTATCCTCCTGGGCCCACACTCTGTAATTAATCAAAAAAAAAAAAAAAGAGACCCATCTGAGGAATTTTCCTTGGAAAATTCTGATTCGAAATCAATTTAGATCCAATGGATAATGATTATGATGGATTTTTAAAGAAGACTATCAAGTCTGGGAAGCAGGAACATCCCAATAGGAGTTTGGAATGGCTTCCGGTTGGGCTGCTAGGGGGGGAGGGGAGTCGTTTGCTTTCATTGTTTGGCCAAAAAGCTTGAAACTGTGTCAGCTGCAATTAAATGCAAAAAAATAAAGAAGAGCACTACTGCCAGATAAGACTGCTGCCACTGCTTTCCATTTCGCGATCACGTGCAAAAGCCAAATCCAAATCCAAATCCAGATCCCCAACTTGTGCTAATTATGCAATTTAAGGCCAAGAAACTAGTGCCTGAAATGGAAGACTTCCCAAGAGGGGAGTCTTCTCCCTTTTTTTTTTTTGCAAAATCGACAAAAAATCAAATGACTTGCAGCTCTTTCTTCCAAAACAGACACACATTCTTGAGGCACATGAGAGATTGGACTACTATGCTGGGTATCGTTTTCTGCAGCTGTGCGATCCAAGTTGGGTTCCTAGAGCCACATGTGGATGAGAGTATCTGTATCTTTTATTGGGAATTAGTATCTTTTGTTTGAAAAAGTGATATTTGGCCAGAAAACCATGCATCTAGACACCTGTCCTAGCCCGGATAGCCTTCAACTCCGGCTCCGGCTATTGAGGAATCGATAGCTTTAGCTTTTGTGGGCGTTACTCCTTATCAGAATAAAGTCCCCGAGCCATATGTTTCATAATTACATTTTTAAATAATAAAAAAACTGAATATAAAACTGATAAATGAGGAAAAAAAAAAACTGCAATTTCATCACGTTTCGGGTGACTCTTTTTTCCTGTTTATTTGTTTATTTTGTTTGCCTGGGAAACGGATAAAAAAATAAATAAAAAAACCACCAAGAGCTTGAAACCAAAAAAAAATTCATTGAGCATTTTTCTTGTCGGCTGTTTTGGTTGAAATTCTTGGCATTAAAGTGGCAACAGCAGAAGCTGAATCTCCGACTGAAACTGAGACTGAGACTGGGTCTGAGGCTGTGGCTGGCAAACCAGTTTTGCACACAATTTGTAAATTATTTAGTCATAAAAAAAAAAGAAAAAAAAAAATGAAAAAAATATCCAGCTCTTGATAGCCGTCCTGCTTGCACACTTTTTTCGATTTTTAGCCTCTGATGGCAATTGTTAGGGTATTTTAAGTCTAACTGGGTCTAATTGGTTTAAAAATAATAATTAGAAGAATGTGGTGTGGCTTTGCTTTGACAATGAGAATAAAAAAAATCGATACAACACCTTGGGGGCAGCTCTGTTTATGGAATTTCGTTGCAACTAGAAAGCTGTGCATTCGTAACCTGCCATAAGTGTAAGGCCTTGGAATTATTAGAATCTCTCCTCTATACCCTATAAGAGGAGAAGGCCAGAGGAGGAACTAGACATCAGGTAGCACTGTACTACCAAAACACCAAAACCCGATTCGACTCTTGGGGGTTGCACTCGTATAGTTGAGCCTATAATAGTTTCTGTTTTGTTGGTTGGCATGACAACAACCTGATTACTAACTCCCCGTATATGCTATAATAGTAGTATATATAGTATTGGATATATATATATATATGTTTCTATATTGCATTGTGGGTTGATTCACTTGGCCACGCTACCAAATTTGGAGCGAGCGAGAAATTCAATTGAATTGTCGTTTCTCTCCAGCTGTCTGTACTGCCAGCTTTATACGGTCTGTAATTGAAATTAAAAAAAAAAATTAGAAAAAAAAATAGAGAAAAAATAGATAAAGAATTTCAAAGCAACACCCACACACGTCGATCAGCCCACGGGTCGATTAATTATAATTCTAGAAACTGCAGCAATCGAAACCCACCCCCCCCTGGTAGGAGGTATCTGTGGGTTCTCTGTTCCACATTCTTTCGAGGAACTTGTGTCTAATCGATGGAGTTACAGCTGGGAGGTCTCTTTACAATGAGTAATCGATATAATCGATAATTATTGTTGGTGAAGATCTATTTCCTATTATCAGGAATAGCTTCTGGTTCTGAATAATCAATAGAGTTTATAGGAATGAGTCTGCTTTGGAATGAGTAATCCAACTTATCGATAATTATTGTAGGTGGAGATCTGTTTCACCTTAGAAATCTGGAAATGCCTCTCCAACTTCTCCAAAGTAATCCAAATAATCG